AGGCGCCGAGCCGATAAAATTTATTTTTAACTGTGTTGTGTAAACTGTGTTTACAGAATTTATGTAATTGATTCTGTGTTGCTAGACAATGAGTTGTTAGCCTTTGGCTATTACTAAAAATGTTGCAACGAATAACCTTCCTTTGCAAGTGTATCTGCAAGGAGAAATTCCACAAAGTAGTAGTGCTAGATCGGAGGCATATGCATTTGAAATATTGGTAAATATTGCCTAATTGCCCTTCATAGGGGCTGTACTATTTTACACTGCCACCAGCAAAGTAAGAGAATGCCTGTCTCTCCACAGTCTTGTCAACAAAATAGATCAAACGTTTGGATTTTGTCAGTCTGTTAAATAATAAATGGTATCAAGGTAGATTTAAAGTACAATTTCCTTTATGAAGTTGAATATCTTTTCACCAAGTTTAAGGGCTATTTGGTCTTTGAAAGGTATTTGTACACACATACATAAACATACGTATACATTTATATGCATAGAGAGAGTGAGTTTAAGACAGTGACTACATCCACTAATCATCTGAAAGGGGTAACTTATATTACAGATAATTTTGTATCCAATGAGTAACTAAATCAATGTCTAGCAGTGCCTATTATTTTTGCTAAAGATTTTATGTATGTATATTTTATATCATTTACCCAGTACTCAGTGAATCTTTGAAATATTTGAAAAGCCTAGTTCATTGTTTAGTTCCTTGGGTGTTTCTGTTTGAATTGCATGCCTCAAAGGCTTGGCATATTTGATATCCTGGTGCTTTGGTGTATAGAAATTGGTGGTCCATCCGAAAGTGGCTTTCTCAAGGATACTAATTCAGGGCCAGGTGCAGTGGCTCATGCCTATAAAGCACGTGGGAGGTCGAGGCAGGTGGATTGGCTGAGTTTACAGGTTCAAGATCAGCCTGAGCCAGAGTGAGACCCCATCTCCAAAAATAGCTGGGCACTGTGGCGGGCACCTGTAATCCCAGCTACTTGGGAGGCTGAGGCAAGAGAAGCACTTGAGCCCAGGAGTTTGAGGTTGCTGTGAGCTGTGAT